CCAGAAAACAGCCAAAGACTGCAAGGGCTGAGAGGACCTGCCTTGTAAGTGTTTGGTCATGCGTTCAAATTCCAGGTGTCCCCATGTACCGAGCACAATCCTGGCAGCACTGCCAGCTACAATCCGGGTGCAACAAGCCATTCCTAGTTGTGCTGCAGCAAGATATGTGTGAGCACCACAAAGAGTGGTGTGACAGGGCTGGAGCGATAGCACAGCGGGTAGGGCGTTTGCCTTGCATGTGGCCGACCCGGGCTCGATTCCCAGCATCCCATATGGTCCCCGGAGCGCCACCAGTAGTAATTCCTGAGTGCAGAGCCAGGAGTAACCCCTGTGCATCGCCAGGTGTGACCCAAAAAGAAAAAAAGAGTGGTGTGTCACCCCCCACCTCGTGGGCACTCAGCTAAACAGATGCACAAGCACGACAGTCAGCAAGTGCAGCCTGTGGGGAGCCCATGTGAGAGCAGCACAAGCCCAGCCCATGCATCTCATCACAGAGGTGCAGGAACGGCTGGAGAGCTTCGCAGTCAAGTGTGCAGACACCACAGCAGGGCGAGGGTGTCATCGCAACAATAGCAACAGCAGCAACAACTACGGGACAGGGAATGAATAAGAAGAATCGAAGAAAACAGCGGTTGGCTTAGCAAGAGTGGCTCGATGTCTAGGGATCTTGAAATCCCCTCCTCCCCAGCAGGCCTAGAGCAGGACTTCAGCTGGGTGTTGGGAAAACGGGCCATCCCCATGCCCCACGTGTAATTGTCAGGATGCTTTCCCGGCAGTGCCTCTTCTTTATTTTTATTTTGGAGGGGTTTCAGGCCACATCCGGCGGTGCTCAGGGGCCCCATCTGCTAGAAATCTCCCATATGTCTAATTCTGTCTTGGCATCTGCTGTCAGAGGACCAACCTGAGCTGAAAGTCTAATTTATTTGTGCTCTGGGTCCAGTGCTGTTAGAGAGTGGAATCTCAGGGTGGATGGGTCTGGAGAATTGTATAATAGCTGAAGGGAACTGTGAAGAGAATCACATGTGGAGTGTTGAGAAGCAGAACTGGAGCAAACATCAGAGAAAATGAACAGAGCCAGCAAACGCCGTGGACTGGTAACTCGTGTGCACACAGAGAAGCAAGGCTGGGTGGGATCTAGTTCATCCCCGCCCTCCTCTCCCTGGATAAGTCCTTCAGGTTTATTACCACATCTAGACAATGGGAACATTTTCCTTTCCTGCTGGATTGTAAGAATCCAGAGGGTGATGCCTCTAAGGAGCTTAGCAGAGCAGCTGAGACAGGTGATCTGATTCCAGAGGAGCTTCGGCCACTTGGACTGCCTTCCTGTGGAAGAATATTTTTCTCCTGCTGAAAGCCAATCAGTGACTGGGTCAGTAGTAAGAAAATGCAGTATTGGAGAGAGATAGAGTGGGTAGGGCGCTTGCCTTGCACATCAGGAGTAATTCTTGAGTGCAGAACCAGAAGCAAGTTCTGAGCATCATGGGGTATGCTGAAAGAGAGAGAGAGAGAGAGAGAGAGAGAGAGAGAGAGAGAGAGAGGAGTCAGGAGGCAGGGTGGGAGGGAGACAGGGAGGAAAAGAGGGAGGAAGGAAAGGAAGGAAGGAAGGAAGGAAGGAAGGAAGGAAGGAAGGAAGGAAGGAAGAAAAAAAAAGCAAGCAAGCACTGGATGGAGTGGAGCCAGAGAGAGCTCCAAGGGAAGAAGCCTGGCTTCGTTCCTTACCACCAGATATCCCTCAAGAACTGCTGGGAGTGACCCGACCTGCATCCCCAGTACAGAACCACAAGCAGCTCCTGAGCACCATGGGGTATGACCAAAGAAAGGACAGGACCCATCCTGGGGTGTCTGGGGCTTTGTTCTGGGATAGGCGAGTATTCATGCTTGCCTGAAGAGAGAGCTGCCCTTCGAGAGACTCCTGCCTGCCTGGATCAGTGTGTGTGTGTGTGGGGGGGGGGGGGGGAAGGAGCTTTCCTGAACTGAGGAAACAGAGTGGGTGAAGGGAGGGGAGGAAGAGCAACCTCAGTATTTAAAGTGACAGGTTTCTAGCCAGTGGCTCCAGGCTGGAGGGAAAATGGATAGGAACTGGTGGCTGGGAGCAGTCAGGGCCTGGTGGGGGGAGGGGGGCTTCTCCCTTCCTTTGTTCTCACCTCAGTCACGGGAGCAGTTAAACCAGCCTGTCCCCCTGCACCCAGAACAGGGTGTCCTGAGGAACTGGGCACCAGGAGAATGGGAGTTCTGAAGGGACCAGTGTCCCCACAGACGTCAGGCTGTGGAGTGGTGCTGGGCCCTGTGTTGGGGACGACAGTTAACCAGACAGCACAGACTAGGAGCCCACCCTGAGCAGGCCCTGACCTGTTCCTTATGACCCCCCACTTGCCATGCACCCCAAGGGGCTGCCAATGTAAGACAGGTCCCGCTGCAACCGCTGGACCCGCATGATCTCTACCATGTCAGAGGCAGCTTTGAGCAAGTCCATTCTTCTGAAAGCAAAACAAATCGAGTCCCTCAGGGGCTGATGGTGGTGATGGTGGTGGTGGTGGTGGTGGGGGGGGGGGGGGCGATGCACACTGCCAGGCAGTGTCAGTTGTTCTCAACAATCCCTCTTCTTCCCTCCCACTCTCCTGCCCACGTTCATGAGTCCAGTTCTGGCCACCAAGAAGCCCCTGGGTTCTGGCACCCTTTCTGCCCATAAGCCAATCACATCAGGACTCCCACTCAGGGCTGAGACTGGTAAAAACTGATGGGATTTGCAAATATTAAACATTGCAAATACTAAGAAAGAAAAAGGTAGAGCAGGATGAGCAAAGGCTAAGGAAGGAACGAAGTGCTGAGGGCCATGTGAACGAATGCATCTTTTTTTTTTTTTGAACCAATGCATCTTGATGCTAGAGCACCATTCACCTTCACCTTCCAGGGATCCCTGTTCTCTACACCCTCACCCTTCCACAATCTCTCTCCTCAGCTCTCCTCCCACCCAGTCACTTGGGAGGCAACAGAGCTGTGTGAGCCACATACGCTTGGCGCCAGTTTCCGGTCTGTGAAAAGGATAGAAAGCACCGACAAGGGGCTGGAGCGATAGTACAACGGGTAGGGTGCTTGCCTTGCATGCAGCTGATCCAGGTTCAATTCCCAGCATCCCATATGGTCCCCTGAGCACTGCCAGGAGTAACCTCTGTGCATCGCTGGGTGTGACCTAAAGGGAAAAAAAAAAAAAGCTCCGACTGAGCAGGGGCTGTGGGAGCGTCAGCCGGAGGGCCTCTGCATTGCAAGAAGCACTTCCAGGCAGGGTGACAGAAACCCAGGACCTGGGTGCCTGGGTGTGGGCAGCGAGCTCCTGAGGGACTCTGAGTTGGGCCACCCTGAGCAGCTGGCCAAGGAAGTAAACCTACAGGTCCAAGGGACTCCAGCCAGGGCTGGAGTGATAGATAGTACAGCAGGTAGAGCATTTGCCTTGCATGTGACCAACCCAGGTTCAATTCCCAGCAGCCCATATGGTCCCCTGAGCATCGCCGAGAGTGATTTCTGAGTGCAGAGCCAGGACGGACCCATGTGCAACACCGGGTGTGACCCAAAAAGCAAACAAACAAACAAACAAACAAAAAACAAGGGACTCCAGTCAGAGGCAGCTCAGGTCTCCGGCACAGGTGGACACGGCGTTCTGGCTTCTTTACTGTCCCACAGCCTGCTGAACAATCTGATAAGCACCTTAGAGAATGTTCACTGAGCCCGGTGCTGAATGGGTCCCTTTCCACACTATTCCCTGAATACCTACAGGATCCTATGGGCAGTATCTGCTTGACAACAGAGCCCCAGGTAAGCGGCAGGCAGCTGGCGAGGAGTGCTGAGACTTCATTGATCTGGGTGATGCCCAGCTCAGTACTCTCTGCCCCACTGGCCATCTCAGCGTCTCCTGTGGACCCATCCCTGGGATCGCCCAGTGACCAAGACAGACAGGCCACCTCGTCCAATTCAGTCTCAGTGCAGGGGTGCAGATAACCATCTTGGTATTTCCGGCAAAGCAGAAAGTGGCTATGACTCAGACAGGACATGGGGTCAGCCTCCTGGAGACCATGAATGCCCACAGGCCCACAGAAGCACCTTCTCAAATGTCTCCTCCTAGCAAGGGGCATTGGCAGGGATCCCTTGCTACCTGTTCCCCCCATCCCTTGGATACCCCTTTCCCCAACAGTCTCAAAGTCCAGCAGTTCCAGGTGCGGGAAGTTAGGAAATGGGATGGACAGGGATGGCCCTGCACCTCTTTCCTGGGCACAGCAGGTCTAGTTCCATTCTCCAGCCCCTGGGAGAGAGGGGGTTACAGGGCACACTGAGGCCTGCCCACACTTCCTCCCACCCCACCCACAACTTCCTGGGGAGCTGCCCCTTGGAACTTGAGCAAGAAATGTCCCTTGCTAACCTCCTTGTCGTCCTAGTGGTTCTGAATGCCAGGAGTAACTTCGCCCACCCCTTGTTTGCAGCACCCACTTTCCACTGAAGCACTTTTTTTTTCTTTTTGGGTCACACCCGGCGAGGCACAGAGGTTACTCCTGGTTCATGCACTCAGGAATTACTCCTGGTGGTGCTCAGGGATGCTGGGAATCGAGCCCAGGTCAGCTGCACGCAAGGCAAATGCCCTACCCGCTGTGCCATCACTCCAGCCCCTGAAGCACTTTTTAAACCAGAAAGGATTCCTGTATGAGTGGAAGAAAGAGACCATGTCTATCAGAGAACGTCTTCTTCAGAGAACAACCCACGAAGTATGCCCTGGACCTAGGGCAATTCCTAACTCAGCTAGGATGGGTGATTGGTGATCTTAGACAGTGAATCTGTGATCTAGTTATGACCTCTGGAAAGTCCCCAACTCCCCGCAGTTATGCACCGGCCCAGTGATCGAAGCCAGTTATGCTGTGTCTTACTATTTCTACCCTCTCCTGACCTGGGAACACTTGCTGGACACACAGGGGCTGGGAGAGAGATGCAAAGAGATACTGAATTGGTATACAAAACAACTTTATTGAAAAATCCAGCCATTAGGAAAGCAAAGCCTTCACCAGGGTTCTGTTAAAAAGTACAAAGTTTAAATAAATGTGTCAGAGCAGTGGCAGCCAGACACTGCCACCAATCACAACCTGGGGAGATGGAAGTAGGTTCCCAGTGCCTGAGGACACTGAGCATGGGGTCTTTGGAAGAACCAGGTCCTAGAGCAATCCAGCATGGGCCCAGCTCGGCTTTTCTCTCTTTGGGAACAAGGTGAGAACAAGTTCTCTCAGGATCTCGGGGAAGGTGACATGACCTGGTACAGACATGTCAGAAAGTCTGAGTCGGAACAGAAAAGGCACTAGGTCAAGTCTAAGGTGAGACCTCAGACTGCAGCCCCCAGGAACATGGGGGATAAATGAGTAGGAGCTTTGGGAACATCACAGTCACCCAGCCCTCCCTATCTGCTTCTGCTCATGCTATGCTTGGTGCCACCTCTGGGTTTGGACACAGGTTAGAGGGAGGTGGACCAAGTGGATGCCACAATCCCAGCTGCAGAGGGCTGGGGTCAGTCTTTGGAACAGCTGTGTGTTGCTTCGCTGGTAGACCTGCCTGTAGCCCAGCCAGAGCCAGCATTCCATCACCCTGGGGGGAGCCTCCCCAGTGGGAGATCTATCCGAGCTCTTATTTTCTGAGCTACTGTGGATACACCCACAGGAACTTACAAGGGTAGTTCCTGCTGGGCAGGCATCTGGAGAAGCCCCCGAAATGGCACAAGAAGTTGACACTGTCAACCAGTCTGTGCCCATGGTCACTGGCGACAGGCCTCCCTGGTGACATTGGGCAGAGGGTAGGCAAAGAGGGAGAAGTCCAGGATGTACTTGGGCAGCACCTCCTGTAGCAGGGCCCGCGGGGTATTGCACAGGTGGTAATGCAGGCTCTCGGGGCTGGCCGGCCGGTACCAGGCCTGGCGCGCTGGGAATCGTACATGGGCTGGTGCCCGCACCCACTCCAACACCTGGTTGGCATCGGCCTCCAGCCTCTCATAGGAGCCCACAAAGTCGTAGTGTACAGCACAGGGCTGGCAGAGGTGGTACACGGGCATCCAGTGCTCGTTCATGCGTTCCGGGTCCTCATCCACCAGGTACCTCAGGAACTCGGGGAAGGTGACATCGTCTCCCGCCGGGCTGGGGCCGGCTCCGGCCCGGTACCGTCTCACGATCTCGGCCCCATAGCGCTGTTGGTACTCGCGGATCTCTCCGAACTTGTTGCGGTAGGCCGAGAGCAGGCGTTCCAAGGGGTCCCGCACGAACAGGAACTTGAAGTAGTGCTGCAGGCGGTAGCGGATCTCCTCCGGCCGCAGGTCGGCCAGGAACACCAGGTCGTTGCGGTGGTCCATCTTGAGACGGACGTCCACGCTGTCCAGGACGCCGGCCAGCACCTTGAGCACCCGCTTCCAGTTGGAGCAGGCCACCTTGGGGACGTAGCAGTAGAGGAAGCGGTAGCGATCGCTCACGAGGATGTGGCGCAGCAGGGTCCGCCGCTGCCCCACCGGCAGGTCCCAGGGGTCCCGGGGCATGCCTGGCTGCGCGCACACGGCCCGCAAGGTGCGGTTCCGTACGTCCTGCCTCACCTGCAGGTCCGAGTCGGCGGCCTCCGGGGACTGCCTCCCGGACCGCGGGTCGGCCCCGTGCCACCCGGCGCCCTCGCGGCTGGCGGGGTGCAGAGGGAGGGGCTTCATATCGGCCAGGATGCCGCGCTCGATCATGAGCAGCAGCCCGCTGGAGGCCACGATCACCGCGAACATCAGCATGGACGGCAGCAGCAGGGGCGGCCCGCCCAGCCCGGCGCGCGCCCTGCCCGGGGGAGCCCTCCGGAGCGCCCGGGCCCGCGGCTCGGCGGCGCCGGGGGCCGCCAGCGGGGTCAGCGGGCGGGGGAACATGATGCTCCTGGGACGGGGGCCTGCGCGGGCCCGGCGATCCGAGGCCGGGGCGGGCGCGGCCCGGGCGCGAGCTGCAGCTCCCGGGGGCCCGCGGCGGCCGGGCCGGGCCGGGGCGGCGGAGCGTCCGCGGCGGGGCTGGCCGGCTCCCGGGCGGCGGCGGCGGCCGAGCGGACGGCGGGCGGCGGGCGAGGGCGCGGCGAGGGACCCGGGCCGGATGTCCCGCCCGGCAGCTCCCCGCCCCCGGGCCCGCCGTGACACAGGCGCGGGGCGGGCTCAGGTCGGGGGCGGGGAGAGGGGCGGCGGCCCCCGGCGGGAGCGGGCCCCGGACGGACCTCGCGCTGGCCCCCAGAGCCCTAACACCCCACACCCGGGACAGGGCGCCCAGGCTGGGCTTCGAGGACAAAAGCTGCCCGGGTGTGTGTGGGCGCGGGGCCTGCGAAGCGAAGCGCCGGGTCCGCGGCCCTGGCGGTGCAGAATGTGTCGTTCCGGAGCTGCTGGACGGGGAGGACCCGCACCCTGCACCTTGCAGCCGCCATCACGAGCCGGTCTTCCAACGGTTGGCTAGGAGCAGGACGCCCCTGATGCGCCCTCTTCCAGGCCGAACTCCTCGAGGCTGGAAGCTAAGACCCCCCTCCCCCCATTCACACACACCGTCAGTGTGTGCTACTCCTGGTGGCTGTGGGCAGTGACCAAGGGCAGAGAAGTGTCCACAGTGACCCTCAGGCTTAAGTCTCCTGGCACTGGCTCGCGCAGAAATGACCGGCGATGGGCTCTGGCCTTTCTGCTTTCCCTCCCCCTTTCTTGATGAGATGGAGTAACCAGCATACTACCTGCTGAGGGGCTAATGCCAAGTGGGCGCCTCTGGTCCACGGGCGGTGACAGCTCATAATTTGAAGGGCGCAATGCTGAGAGCAGAGAGCTGCATCTGTCTGTGGTCAAGGCCCCAGCTGAGTGGCAATGGCCGGTCAGGTGGGCTAGAGCACAGCTGGGTGCACCTGGAGGACAGCTGCCATCCTTTCCCCATCCAATGGGGTTTGCCTATGAGAGGGCATCAGGGGTGCTCTGCAGCAGAGGGAAGATGTGTCCTGGGCCCATTCTTATGAACACAGAAGCCTTCTCTGTATTCCCACCATCTCTCTTCACTCCACAGCCCCTGGAGGGACAGGGCCACCAGCAGTCCCACTATTCAGCTCAAGGAACAGGGTCTGGGGTTCGTCTAATTCTAAAAACTCAATTCCTCTTTTGGATCCCTCAGACATTAACTTTGGAAGGTTCAGTGGGAGGAACAGGGAAGCAGCTGCCATCAGGACCCCTGGTGCTGAGAGGGCGATGGAGCAGGAATGAAGTGGAGAATGAGGCTGCAGGGGAGGATGACTTCCAAAGCAGGAGGGGTCTTGGGAAGGAGAAGCCACATTTACTGACGCCCCCAACCCTAGGGACAGGCGTGTACCCCACGAGGAAAGACAGGTGGAAGTCTGATGACCTTTTGCTCCTCGGCAAGCAGCCCACATTCAAGTTTGGATTAAGTTCAGTCTTTCAGGAACACTGAAAGCAGAGATTCCTAGTGTTACTACTTTCTACTGGAAAAAAAAAAAACCCAAATCTTTTAGAACAGTACAGTGATTTGCACTTGATGGAATAATACCTTTGAAAAGGTTTTTGATCCTTTGACCACAGGTGGTCTGCGTGGCTGTGTGGGAGAGGTCCCAGCCGTGGAAGCAATTCAGGGACAGTGGCTTTCTCTGGGGGAGCCCCTGGGTAAGGAACCTGTCTTGACCGCAGTGTGGCATCTCTGATACTAGAACACCACCCACCTCTCCTGAGGCTCCATGGTTAGAATGCAGGAAGCTGTGATATAGGGAACCCAGCAGGAGGAGGGGGTCTGTGCCTGACAAAACCCAAAGGAACACAGTGGCTCTGGGGACCTTTCTTCAGGAACTGTAGGAGCATGCTGGCTAAGCCATGCGGCCTCCAAGCTGCCCCGCATGAGTGCAGGCAACACTCAGGGCTTGGGGTCAGGCTAGACCAGAGGCCTGGACAGTCACAAACTATGGCTCCATGCTGGGGCTAAAGACTGAAGCCCTGGGCAGTTTCTGTGGCCACTACCCCAAAGGCATGAACAAATGGGATGAGGTTAAATCTTTGTAATATACCAACTTTGGGAACAAGCACCTAGGTCACGTAAGGCTGGCTGAGGGACGGCAACCCACAAGGTAGCTCTTGGCCCCATGAGGCCAAGAAGTGAGCTCTGAGGACCCACTCCTTGTCACGTCACCCCTCCCTCTCTGCTTCCCAGACCGTTGCTTATTGGCTTCTACAACCGCTGCCCCGCCAGGCTTAGGAGTGATCCTCTATAAGAAAGTGGGTGATCCCTCTGCATACACACCACACACACACACACACACACACACACACACACACACACAAAGATGACAGGACACGCAGGAACTTTTCCTTTTCTAAATCAATACAATTTCTCAAATTTATTTTTTTCTTAAAGAAGTACTTCTAATCTCTGTCAAAAGAGAGGCGAGGAAAGGTCCTCCCTCCCTTGTAAACACTGAAATACAGATCTGAGAAACCAGGGTCGACACACACAAAAAGTGCATTTTACAAAATATCAACTAAAATATATTTTACATGAATTATGCTTCCATTGAAATTCTACCAGCTGCATTTTCAGGTTCGAAAAAATATTTCCACATCTACGAGATTTCAAAAGCATTTTAAGTTCTGGGCAGCAGACCCTGTCTCCTGGGAGAAGGGGCCTCGATCTCTCCTGCTAGGGGAGGTGCCACCAGAGCCTGGAGCCCTGGGAATGAGCAAGATCCAGAGTACCTGCTGCCACTCTGCTGACCTCTCACGGCCCTGCTCTCCCGGGAGGAGAATGCCTTCCCCAAACGGACGCCCTCACCCCAGGAGGATCCGAGGTCCTTCCTCCCTTTGGGCTTTGGGCTGGGCTTCCTATGTGTCAACTCACTCCCGAGGCCTCAGGTCTCCCCAAGCCCAAGGACCGATGAGGAGCAGCCACCTTGGCAGGGACTGGGGCTGGGGCTGCCAGGAACTCCCCTGGGATTCCCTGCCACTTCCTTCTCCAGCCTGTCCAGCTGCCCTGACCCGGGGCCTCTTCCCTAACCTGCTGGGTCCATCTGTCCCTTATGAGGGAGGAGCACCCGGCGCTGCCTTCCTCAGCTCCATGCCCTGGAGTTGGCCCTATGGAAGTGCTCCCAAGCAGGCTCCCAGGGCCAAGCTCAAGCCCTGGTGCTCCTCTCCCCACCATGCTCCTCTTTGGTACAAATAGGAAAGAGAACCCGCTGCTGCTTCCGCCCTTTCCTAGGGGGAGCCCCACCAGGGCTGAGCCCTGGTGACAACAGGGGGTCTGAGTCTCCTAATCTACTCTGGGGAGGGGCATGAGGTGAGAACAGGGCCCCTGGGCCATAGGAACAAACTGAAAATGCAGGTTCTTAGCTCCTACAGTGAGTGGCCGCAGCTCAGCAGGTCTGTGGACTGATACAGTGTTGATTCTCGCTGGGATGTAAATTAGTGCAATCTACAAAAGACTAGGCTAAGGGGTGGGGGCAGGGGGGCCACAGCACTCCTTTGGTTTGATTTCAGGTGGGTGTGGCTTGAAGAGTCATATTAGAAGTTCTGCAAGAGGTTTCCTAGAACCCCCAGTGTAAGGCAAGAGGAAAAGTCTTCAATAAATCAGGTAGCAATTTTCCTTGCCCCCTGTACCCCACCCCAAGATGATCAGTTTAACTTCGGGAAAGCCAGACCTGCTGGGCGGCTGGGCCTGGGCAGGAGACAGGAAGCTGACTCCCATAAAGCCGGCCACACCCATGATCGAGGGCCGGGCAACTTGTCCCAGCACCAGGGGCTACTGCAGGGGTGAAAAAAAGAAAAGCCAGGGAGAGGCCCAGGCCCAGGAAGCGGAAGTCAGTTAAGTCAGTGCTCTGGAAGCCAGATTCTGGCTCTCTCTGTCTCCGAGGAGCGAGCCCGAGTTCGGAGTTGTGCTAGAATCTGGGAGAGCCTGGCCCAGGCTGACAAGGAAGCAGTGGGTCACAGTGGGCGAGGTAAAGCTGGCTCCACTCACTCCCCCTGGAAAGGCGACAGAAGGGCCCCCCCCACCCCCACCCCCAGGGGCCCTTGCCCTCAGGCTGGCCCCTCTTGCAGGGAAGACTGCATCTTCAGGAATCTGGGCGGGCACCTCACCAAGGAGAAGGCCCCCTGGGCCAAGCTGAGGGCTCTGATGCTTTCCGAAACCCTGGCCTCCCCATCCCTCCCATGGGGCCCAGAACCCACAGGGGCCCCTGCCCTCCCCCTCCCCCTCCCGCCCAACCAAGAGAACCACAGGCAGCAAACTCTGGCTCCCGTGGCCCCTTAACCAAGTGCTGTGCTTCAAGCAGTGCCTCCTGCCCTGAGCCCCACTTGCCCGTGGGCAGCCCCCACCAGGGTGTGAGGAGGCTACTGGGGGTTCTTGAGGATGCGGCCATGGCGGAAGTCATAGACATGGCGGCAAAGAAACACCAGCTCAGGGTCTGTGTCCTCGGGCACCGTGCGGTGAGGTGGGGTGGAGTAGTCTGCAGAGGGGGGCACCAGTGCTGTCTTGCGGCTGGGCAGGCCCTCGCCTCGGCGCTTGGCCATGGCACAGAATCTGCAGGGAGACACCGTTTGTACCGTTTACCAGTCTCCTTCGCAGGCAGGTAACTGGGCCATCCCCTCCCACCCTGCCAGGCTGCAGCTACCTCCATCCCCGGCGGGCAGTTCGCTGCTGGCCACCTTAGAGTCGCCTGCCAGGGCCTCCCTCCCGGTCACCATTCATTCTCTTGATATACAAACCCGGCACCGATCCCTGACCCCTCACCCCAACCCTTTTGCCTCAGTGCGGCAACATTTTCCTTCTCCTAAAAGCATCAGGTGGTGAAAGAGACGGACTTCGAGGAACAAAGTTGAGGGAGGTCAGGTCCCAGGAGTGAGCTTCTCTTGGGGGTCCTATTAGCCCCTAAATAGCCTGCGGGAGTCTGAAGGGAGAGGCGAGCCAGAGTCCGGGTCCCCACCCACCTGCAGTACTCGGCAAAGGTCAGCACGTAGCACTTCTCCTCGATGCAGGCTACGCTGTTCTGGTCCTGATGTCGCGATGCAA